CCCCAAAACCCCAAAACCCCAAAACCCCAAAACCCCATTAAAAGCCCTAAATGCTGAACCCTATATATAAACTATTTTCTATATGGGTATTTTTAGTTCAGCTCCTGAAGTTTCTACTACACCACAAAATCGACAAAGCTACTCAGATTGAGACTCTCCTCCATCATATTTTAGAGAGCCAAGTTCGTCTCGGAGTCAGCGAATATCAATAACAAATAGACAGAGGAGCACAAGGCTTAGTGAAGAAGAAAGGAAGAAATTGTTACAACAGAGAAAGCAGAACAGAGAGAAGGCTAGGAAGGAGGAAGAGAAAAATAGGAAGAAGAAGAAGAGTAGACTCAAGCAGAGGTTGGAGTTACTTGATGAGGATGCTAAGGAGACTTGTAAGAAGTATAAGGTTCAATGGGAGAATACTGACAAGGAGAGAGGAGGAGAGAGGCTTGAGTGATGGAAGGCTATTAAGAATCCAAATTTGAATTGATTTATGAACGCTTCAATGCAGAGTTTGTTGAGTCTTCCAGAACTTGTGAAATATTTTTCTGGTTGTTCTGATGGAGATTTGGCTAAAGAAAAGAAAAGTTATTTTAGTAAGGAATTATATCCTAATGCTAAAATTTCTTGACTGATGCAAGACTTGTTCAAGCAATGTTATGACTCTGATGCTCCAGAATTGGATGTGACTAAGATCAGGTCTAAGTTTAAAGATGATTTCACTGAAACTGAAATGCATGACTCAGGAGAATTCATTTTATCATTACTCAATACTCTTGAAAATGAACTAAATCCTCCAGATCAACAATTTAATACAAAAGATATTTGGCATTACCTTCAAGTATGGAAAAAGTATCAAGAGACTTATCCATCAATTATTAATAAGCTGTTTGTTGGCATGGAGCAGACTATATTCCGATGCCAGAAATGCTTTCATGAAAGTAAAATGTATGATATGTTCAAAAATATTTCTATACAATGTACTCCAGAAGCTCCAATTAAAGGATTCATAGCATTTCTATCACAGTTAAAATCCCCTCAAGAGTGTAAAATGAAATGTAAAAACTGTGATAGTAAGAAATCATTTATTATTAAAAAGAGAATCATTAGGTATCCAAAATACTTGATGCTGGTGATCGGGAGAGGAGGTCCATCAACTCAGGATCAAATTAGTGGCTTTGTGGATTACCCTCACAGCTTTGTACAGTTTGACCCTCAAAGTGACCACGAGATCAAATACACTTTGAATAATGTTATCGCCAATAGAACCGTGCACTACTCCACCTATTGTAAGAGAGGCAGCAAATGGGTCCATTTAGAGAACACAGATGTGAAGGCAATTCATCCAAGTGAACTCAAGAATGAGGATGCTTATATTCTCTTCTACGAAGCAAAGGATCTAATAGTTGACTAAAAATCTCAATTGTATTTTCATCCCCCGGGGTTTTGGGGTTTTGGGGTTTTGGGGTTTTGGGG